TTCATTGCGTAGACAGAGAAGTAGTATTTCAATGCAGAGATGAAGGTCCTCTGAGAGCACCTGTTAGATGGTCTCGAGGCAATGGACTGTATTTACCTCATGGATCTAGAGACATTGGAGGTCGATTAGAAATGCCTAATATTAAGGTAAATTTACATTTACTTATTATTCTTCATCACTTCAAATGCTAATCTGTTTAAAATGATAAAGGTTGAACACAGTGGTACATACGTGTGCGAGGCAATTGGTTTCTCAGCTTCCGACCCGGGATCCCGCGTATCTGTCTTCCTAAAAGTAGAACCATGTAAGTAAAACATCTAAACATTATGATGCTTTTAAATTTAAATAAAAAAAAAATATACTTATCGCATACAAGCTGCACGGAAACACAAAAATGTAATACCAATTATAAATAGTAAATGGAAATTTGGTTTACCTGCAACAAGAAATTTTAATATTAATCGCTACTCAGGTATGTACATAATTGAGCCAAAATTCATAGGTACTAAATATTTTGGTTTTATTATGTGTATTACTATAAAATGTATTTTTTACTTTGCTGGCATTTTTATTTGATCTAAATGTAAGTAGATTATATCATTTTAAAATTGTAAAATGTCTGAATTATGGAAATATATATATATATAGGTGCATTTATAAATTAAAGTACATCTATTGACTATTGTGTTATTTAGTAAACCTATAGGCTATGACCTATTTAAATTATCTTTAATTTAAAGGGTTATTAATAATTTCATTTCATATGTATATTCAATATTCGTTTTCTTAAGGATACCTATGTRTATATAAYTACAGATATAAATTTCACGCATGCATATTTTTAATGTTTTAATGTTTAATATAATATTTGTGATTTATACTTCAGGGATTGATGTAACGGTTCGGCCTTTAGAAGCTTGTGGTTTAAATGAAGCTACGTGTTCTAATAAACAATGTATATTAAAGTCAAAAGTTTGTGATGGTCAAATAGATTGTTTAGATGGATCAGATGAAACCCGTTGCAGTATGTTTAGATTTAACTAAAAATACAAACATTTATACGTAAACATTTTTTTAAATATTGTCATTTTCAGACATGTTTGGATGTCAACCCAACGAATTCCGCTGTAGTAATAAAAAATGTATACTCAAAACTTGGGTGTGTGATGGTCAAGATGATTGTGGAGATAATTTTGATGAGCAAAATTGTGATCAAAAATTATCGGGTGTGTAATGAACATATATATTATATATATATAAATTAATGTAATCTACTGATACAAGTTTTGATATACACATCTATACCTACTGTACTGTAGATATTGTACAATTGTAACTAATTATTTATAAGTAAAAAAATTGAAACACTATTTTACTAAATGTTTCATCATGTTATAGATTCTCGCTGTTTATACAGTGAATTTGAGTGCAGAAATAAAGAGTGCATTCCAAAATCATTTCAATGTGATTCTCAAAGTGATTGTTCAGATGGAAGCGATGAAATTGGTTGTCGTAAGTAGAATAATGTGTATACATTGTGTCATTGTTATAATTATTATATTTCAATATTTTTTKTTTTAAWTTTAGTTCCAGTACAATTTCAAACTACACCACCTCCTTTGATAACACTTGAAATTGGTGATGTGTTCATAACAACATGCAAAGCTGTTGGTGTACCAACTCCCGAAATATCATGGCGATTGAACTGGGGCCATGTTCCAACAAAATGTGAAATGACTAGTGTTAATGGATTTGGTACACTCACTTGTCCTGATATTCAGGTATAATTCTTATATTATAAAACAAATTTTTGCATACACTTTTGTTTTAAACTTAGTTTAATATGCATCTCTTCTATGGATTTTAGGAAGCTGATCAAGGTGCATACAGTTGTGAAGGTATCAACATACATGGGTCTGAAATAGCAGTTCCAGACACAATATTAGTTGTAAAACGACCTAATTTAATTCAACCAACCACATGCCCTAAAGGAACCTTTAATGATGTAGCTTTATCWCAAAATGATTGTATCAACTGTTTTTGTTTTGGAATCTCGAGTAATTGTAGGAGTTCCAAACTCTTCAAGATTCAGGTTTGAAAATCTCACTTGTGTTTATTTTGATTAATATAATTTAATATTTTGTTTTTTCTAGAATGCACCATCATTGAATCAACTTAAAATAGCTAATGTTTATATAGAATCTTCTTCATTTAGAGTAGAAATACAACCAGCAAGTTCTACTGCTCATCAAATAAATGTGAATGGAAATGAAGCTTTGCAAGTGTTTACAGTTAATAATGCTTCAAGGCAATATGAAGAYACATACCCATACTTCAAATTCCCAGAAAGTTATTTAGGCAATCAGCTTAAATCCTATGGGGGTTACATAAAATATGTAGTTAGGTATGAGGGAAATGGAGATACAATCACATTCACACCAGACATTATTTTGATTGTAAGAAATTTCATTTTTAGTTTATAAGTTTTWATGAATAATAAATAATTCTTTATATTTTCACCAGGGAAATGGTGTTAAACTTATGTATTTTGGTCCAGAAATACCAGTAGGCATTGACACAGTTGTATCAGCTAGATTATTTGCTGATGTTTGGAAAAAAGAAAGTACTGGTTTCAGTTATTCTGATAGATTAGCAACCAGGGAAGAAGTTATGATGGTTTTAGCTAATGTAGAAAATATTTTAATCAGGTATCTATAATMTATTCCATTAATATATTTGCCCATAAAAATGTTGATTAATATATTATATTAATTGCTCAACAGGGGTCAATATGTTTCACAACAATCTGAAACAAACATAAAACATATAAAAATGGATTCTGCACAAACAATGAAAAATATAAATGAACATGTAGCATTTRTTGAGGAATGCCAATGTCCAGCAGGTTATACTGGTCTATCATGTGAAGTTAGTATCACATCTACAATTAAATWTATGAAAATATTTATTTAGTTTACTACCTATGTATATTTTTTTAAATACTCTTTCCAAAATTTTTATTATGAATCATGATTTTTAAGTCAATTATTATTTACTTCTTTAATGTTCTCATCTTGTTATGTGAATACTATTTTCATATTCACTATTCACAATTTGAACAGGTTTTTGTTTAATCTCATTATGCGTGTTTAAATATTTAATGGTATTTTAAAGAGTTGTGCTCCTGGATATATACGCAGACAACAAGGTTCCTGGTTAGGACAATGTTACAAAGAAGATACAGAAGTCTGTCCAATAGGAATGTATGGATCACCACCAAGAGGAATACCGTGCAGACATTGTCCTTGTCCCTTAACATCATCTGGCAATCAGTAATTAAAATTGTTTTTGTTTTAAATTAAAAAAATGAAACCTCTTTTCAATTATTGTCTCTATTAGATTTGGTAAAGGTTGCTACCTAGACACTGATGGGTTACCGACATGTAATTGTGTTGATGGATATGTTGGRCGAAGGTGTGAACAATGTGCCTCAGGATATTCAGGAAATCCTTTACAACCAGGAGATTATTGCAAGCAAGGTAAACAAACTAAAAAATAAGATTACCATTAACGGTAGGTATACTACTGTATTCACACTTTATAATATATTATTTTTTAGGTATATGTGATGTAGCTGGTTCAATATCACCATTCCCTGATGAGAGTACAGGAAAATGTGTTTGCAAGGTAAGTCTTATTCATTTTATATTTCTGAAACAATTAAAAATAATTATGCTAATTTTTATTTGCTAATGCTGTCTTATTTACTGACACTTGTGGTAAGCATAACTTATAATTGTTGTAATAAGATGTTTTTTCAATTTTTTAGTTTTAACAAGAATAAAAAAAAAATCWTAAAGTATTAATAATTTATTTTTTATTAACTTCTAATTAGGATTATACAACTGGTGATTTATGTAACCAATGTAAGGCTAACACGTTCAATATTGCACCAGACAATCAATTCGGTTGCATAAGCTGTTTCTGCATGGGTGTATCCAATCAATGCACCAGTTCGAGGCTGTATAGACAAGAGGTAAATGTTAGCTATTTGACTGATGAGATTTTTCACTATGTACACAAACTTATAATGTATAGGTACATGCAACATTTGCTAGAACCAACCAAGACATAAAATTAATTCAGCGTAAAAACTTTGTTCCGTTGCCAAATGTAGAAGTGGATTCAAGCACTAGAGAACTTGTTTACAGAGACTTTCCACCAGGCAGTCAAGAAGTATAAATAATCACTGTTAAATGCTGTATTTACTAGGAAAATATTTTTTATATGCAATATTATTATTAGGTTTATTATTGGCAATTGCCTCCGCGGTTTCTGGGAAATAAAATAACATCATATGGTGGTTCTCTCAGTTACATCTTAAGACATGTTCCAGTTCCAGGTGGTCAATCTTCCAAAAACAGTGCACCAGATATTGAACTCATAAGTGTAAATATTCAAATAATTTTTTCTAGCAAAAACATTTCCGTTGTCATTGTTTGTTTTAAAATTTCAGGAAAACAAAATCCGATTATTACATTATAGTCGTGAAAACGTAGAACCAAATACTTTAAAATCCACTTCAGTTAAACTATTAGAACAAAATTGGCAACGACCAGATGGTCAGGTTGCAGATCGCGAACATTTATTAATGGCCTTGGCTGGTTTGAAATTCATATTAATTAAAGCAACTTACACAACTGGTACTAGAGAAGTAGCGTAAGTATACTTTTAGTGGCTATACAGTAGTAAAAACATATACTTTTTGATGTTATTATTGATTATTATAATTTTATAYACAGAATACAATCAGTTACGCTTGAAATCACTGATTCATTCAATACTGGAAAAAATAGAGCTGTTGAAGTGGAAGAATGTTTGTGCCCAGAAGGTTACAAAGGTCTGTCATGTGAAGATTGTGCGGTGGGATACACGAGAAATGGCCAAGGTCTATATTTAGAAATATGTGAACCATGTACATGTAACGGTCATTCAAACCATTGTGATCCTGATTCTGGAATTTGTGTTGTAAGTCATATACTGAAAATTAAGTATAATTAATTATTAACTATGATGTATACTAATAAATTTTTAACTTACAGAACTGTCAAAATCATACAACGGGAGATACATGTAATGAGTGTTTACCTGGTTATACAGGTAACCCACTAAAAGGCGTACCATGTGAACCCAATGAAGAGATTTCTGTCTGCGATTGTGATTCTCGGGGMACTTTATTACCTTGTCAGGATGATAGATGTGTTTGCAAAGTACAGCTAAATTTATAATTAAGTAATTAATAAATAGAAAAAATATTCATAAATAATCAACATTTATAGACCAATGTCGAAGGACCTCGTTGTGACCGTTGTAGACCTGGTACATTTGACTTGTCAGAAAATCATGTAGAAGGATGTTTAGAATGTTTCTGTTCTGGAGTCTCTCAAAACTGTTATCCTTCCAATTTATTTATTACTCAAATTCCAATGCAGTTATTTGGACAAAGTCATGGTTTTACTTTAACTGATAGGTATTTATAATTWATTTATATAATTTTAAATTTTGTTGTTCAGAAATTAAGCTAATTGAAAAAATTGTCYTACTAGTACTAGAAATAGGTTCATTAAATCTGGCTTTACAACTGACGTGTCTAGAAACGAAATTGGGTATGACTATACTCCTAATCGTGGCGAACAACTATTTTGGTCATTGCCATCTTCTTTTACAGGAAATAAGGTATTMAATTATATTTACATGAAAATTATGTATTAAACCATAAATACATAATAAAAAAAATTTAAGCACAATTATATGGATTCTTATTAAATTTAGATTACATCCTATGGAGGTTTTCTTAACTGGACCCAACGCTATACCGCATTTCCAGGTTCCACAATACGTGATGACACTGACATCATACTTGTTGGAAGTGGAATATGGTTATTTAAATCAAATGATAAAAAAGTTTTACCAGGCGAATCTACCGTATATATTTTCACCTTTTAACTAACTATTATAGAATTGTATACTTGAATATGATTTTTTCATAGGTACTAAGTACTCATTTAGTAGAAAAAGGTTGGCGTCGATTAATTTCTTCAGGACCACAACCAGCATCAAGAGCCGAATTTATGAAAGTACTTTCATCTATTGAAGCTATCCTAATTCGTGCRATACATGCTTCTCAGACAAATAKAACTTACCTTAGTGATGTAAGTTTAGATACAGCTATTGAATCGGAGACTGGTGGTGAACGATCAACCAGTGTTGAAATATGCAGATGTCCAGTTGGTCACAGAGGAACATCATGTGAAGTATGCARAATAATCTRTTACAAATATACAGTACTCTTAATTAAATTATTTTTCAAATTAGATATGCAGCATTGGATATTACAAGAACATCAATGACCAATGCACAAGATGCCCATGTAATGCTAACGAAGAAAGCTGTTCACTAGGCTCAGACTTAAGAGTCACTTGTAATTGTCTCTCTGGATACACCGGGCCTTCATGCAATACTTTAGGTAATACATATATTTTATAATGATAGTATATTTTTCATATTTTTCAGCAAACACAAGGATATTTTAATCACGTTTTTGAGAATACTGGATACATGAATTATTTTGCACATATAAAAACACTGTTATTTTAGTGCTTAATTCTAGATCATTAAATCAAATAGCTTAAATTTTTCCAAATATCAGCTAAGTAGCTTTTGAAAGCAAATATGGGTTTTCCAAAAACTTAACAGGAGGTGCCTAGCGCACATTTATTGGTACCTACAGATTAAACATTAAACAACAGTATTATTATTTATTATCAATAGTGGTCTGTAGCTTAAGHAATGACAAACAGTTAACACTTGGACAAATTTCCGCATTGACATATTCTAGCGTTATACCAAAAAAACATTAATTATATTAGTTCTTCAAATTTAGATCTATAAGGAACCATAGACAATTTTTTAATTTTAAGCAATTTGACAATTATAATTTCAATATAATACAATTCTTTTTTTGTAAAAGGAGGGAGTGTTATTTGAATTTGACGTATAATTTAAAAAAAAAATGAAAACTAATAAGTTACATACACCTGCAGGCAACACTCTTAGAKTTCAGTTAATAACATGAAAAAATTATAAAAACAAACCCTAAATATAACTACCTAAAAATACTTYTAATATATCAGGAATATTTTCTAAATTTAGTGTTGCAATAACTAATACATTTTTATGTGCAGTTGATAATAGACAAACAACCACAACCACAACCAGAAAACCACCACCTCTTCCACTACCAGAAATTTATATTCAAATATCTGAGCCAAAAATCGAAATTGTTGAAATAGGAAATACTGTTACATTACACTGCGCTGCCAATTCTCGTCGTTCACAAGTACAATATTATTTATTTTTAATTTCTTGAAATAACTTGTAACATATTTTGCATTTATTCTTATAGAAAATCAGTATAACRTGGTCAAAAGAAAATGGATATTTACCATCTGACCGTAYACAAGACAATGGGTCAGGTCATTTATATATAACTAACGTAGAACCTTCAGATAGTGGAGTGTATATTTGTACAGCATCTGATGGATATTCATCTTTCAGTGACAAAAAAATACTGAGAATAGCAGGTTAGAATGTCAACATGAATGATTAGTTTATAAATTTGTATAATAAAGTTGTTTAGCTATTTATTAAAAAAAAAATAGTAATAATTTTAATTTTAAATTGTATAACTTATTTCTTTTTAATATTAGATCGAACGACAACGACCAGCAGACCGATACCAAGTCAACCAGATATTTATATCACAGTTTCAGACCCATCGATTGAGATCGTGGAAATTGGTAGTACTGTAAGGTTTAGATGTGATGCCAGATCTAGACGTAATCGGGTAAAATAAATTTTTTTTTTAACTTATACATTAATTTAAATAACAAAATTCATAATAATGTATGYAAATATTTGTTCAGCCTGTTGTGTTAAAATGGACAAGAGAAGGCGGTAGTTTACCTGTAAATAGAGCAATCGATAATGGATCAGGATATTTGCTATTTACAAATCTTGACACATCAGATTCTGGAGTATATGTGTGCACTGCTTCTGATGGTTATTCTGCAATCAGYGAAAAGAAAACACTTGCTGTTGGAGGTAATAATTTACATTCATTTATTTATTTATTTTCATGTAAAATGTAACATGTACAAATATTTATTTTAATTCCATGCTCTCGAAATAGAATTTCGTCTGGATGTAAAAACTATTGGTAAAATTGATATGTTTCATAATTTTAATGCAAAAATGTATGTATTTAAATTATAATTGTATTAATTAAAATATTTGTATCTAGGTGGAACAAATATTATTAAGCCAACTGTTGAAATCAGACCTAAATACCTAAAACTCGTAGTTGGTGATCCAGCTGAATTCATTTGTCAGTCTCCTGGAGCGCCTACTCTCGAATGGTATAGAGGATTAGATCAACAGTTCAACCCATCTGTGAGTTATTTATAGTAAATTATAAATAAGTAATATAATTACTAAATCATTGATTTAAATTTAGTACGTTTCTGCGGATGGTGTGTTCCGTATCCCAGCAGTAAAGCAATCTGATCAAGGTTCTTATTTCTGTAGAGCAACAAATCAAAATGGCGAAACTGATTCGCAAAGAGTCACAATTTATATTGAACGTAAAATTAAAACATTATGATTATTTTTAACTGCGTAAATTAATATTTGTACTTTTATTAAAATAGCTTCCCAAAACGTTATAAATGGATCAAATGATTTATTGTCGCTGACAATAGATCCACCTCAATACTCAGGGCCTGGTGATGTTGTACGTCTTCAATGTACCATTTCAGATGAGACTCAGTATGGTGTTAAATGGTCAAAAATAGGAAATCAACCATTGCCATATGGATCTGAACAAAGTTCAAGTGGTCTTTTGACTCTTCGCCGTCTTAAACCTTCCAACTCTGGTGTATACGTATGCTCAGCAATTTCATATAGATCTGGAGCGATTGAATCGGAAGTAGAAGTACCAGTCAATATTGTGCAAAGAAGGTAAATATAATTTGTTGAACAAWCAACTGCATAAAATTGAAAAATAACTTTGGATTTTTGTTCAATAAAGAAATCCMCCAAGTTTACGCATTGAACCAGACAAGCAAATAGTTCCACAAGGTACCCTCGCGGAAATCAGATGCCTGTCGACTACTGATCCCAATCTTCAAGTACAATGGTTTAAAATCAATGAAAATTTAACTCCTAATGTTCAGGTATATATATACAATTGTTGAATTGTTCATTTATATTTTTATTCTTTGTCCCCCATGATAATAGAATCATTTTGTTTCACATACGAGTTATTAGTACATATTGCCTCACGGAAAAAACTAGATAGCTGGTTAAACAATTTTTATAGTTGAACCAACCATAACTTAGAGTTACATATGTGACAACAATAATTATTATTGAATGTACTAAATGTATATGGTTAAATTATTTTAGTTGGTTTAACCACACAATTTTATACTATTTTTTAACAATACTTATTGATTGATGTAACTATATTATAAAGTTATTATCTACTATATTTTGTAATTGGATTAACCAACAATTATAGTTTATACCTACATTGTTTCCAAGTAGTACAAATAACTTATTAAATAGTTACTTTTATAATGTTTTAATAGTTGGCTTAAAACTATTTTATGCTTGGATTAGCCAACAATTATAGTTATTACATTSTTTCCWAGTAGTAAAAATAACTTATTAAATGTTACTTTTGCAATATTGTAAATAGTTGGCTTAGCTATATTTTCAAATTAATTCAACTGCTTTGTATMTGTTAATTTGAAATACCTATTTTCATAATTTTAGTACCTACATAGTAACCAAAACTATAGTTGATCGGTTTATCAAAAAATGTTACAGTTACTTAAAAAAAGTATAGTATAGGTAGGTACCTTGTTTTAAGCAAAATACCTAAAAAATAGTATGACATTATTGGTATCCAATTAAAAATAGCAAATAATAGGTATATTTATTATTTACTATATTAATATAATATTTCACTTATAAAAAGTATTTGTTCACAAATGTTCATTCATAAAAAGCTTTTT